TCCCTAGAACCTATATTTCATTAGGCCTCCTGATTTTTGTGCTTCCAGGTGCGTCACCTGTTCCTTGATGGTCATCAGGGACCAGGTCAGATAGAAAGAGGAGGACCAGCACGTCGATCAGTCAACCTGTCCAGGAAAGGTAGATGTTCCTCCAAGCTACAAAGTGCACTCCAACCATCAAACATGAATAACGGATTTAATTATAATCGTGTCAAGTTGTAACCAATGGTAACATCAAAGAACTTCAACGTTATAGTCCATTACAGAAAAAGACAGTTGATGATAATCGAGCTCTCCTCGTCGTGTTCTTGGACCTTTTGCACTTTGAGAGCATTTGATGCATCTGGACAGACCCAGCATGTCGAACAGCTTCATTTTCTGCTGTGTGAGTCTTTTATAGTCACAAATTGGAGATTACAGTCCCAGCCAAAGAGCAGATTGTAGATGTGCCTAATATGTAGCGGCGTAAAGGATTGCTGCCAACTGCTCAGGTGGGACTTAATTAGTCTGTAAAAGCTCCCAGTCTTCTTTTTAATAGTAATCTGATCATTCTGACTCATCAGTAAGACTGGATGCATCTGCAGCCTCATTAACACTGCATGAAAGCTTTCTTTGAAACATCAAATTGAGAAGCTCATACGAGGTTTCCAAAAACATCTCGGCACCGGTTGGCAATGTCATCTAATACTTCAAAAAAAGAGTCTGAATAAATTCCTCAGATTGGTTCACAGAAGGAAGGCTGCTGACATCACACTGAATGCTTGCTCAGCCCTCCTGAGGGGAAACTTTAACTCCATCTCAGTCACAGGCTCGACACGCCTCATTGCAGACAATACAGGTGGATAACATTACACCTGCACGAGGGTCCAACATGAGGCCTCTTTCAGGCATGAGCTGACCTGATATGATCTGGAAGAGCAGACGCACACAGTGTAGGGCTTTGCATTTAAATTTGCACAATTTAGTAATATTAGTACTTTTGGTTATGTTGCATGAAGTCCTACTTGTCAGAGGCACTATGGAAGTATCTGTTCTAAAACTTGGGAGGCAGGGGTAATCAAACATACAGGTAAATATTAACAATTTTAATAGTGTTCATGTCTCCTGCCCCCATAAACAATGCGCCCTGAGACGGCCTCCCTGTAATAATATAATGGCAGTATTAGAGCACAGGATTAACTGGAGAGCTAAAAAAAAAAGTTGGTAAAGAGCTGCGATTATCCTGGGAATATTATACTAATTAGGACTAGGGTTTTGCAATAGAGCCTCAAAATTATATAGTAATATTTCAAAGGAAATTTGTAATACTTTTGAGAATGTAGGAAAAAATGGATCGAATCTGTAATAAATAAAGCTGTGCTGCAGGCCGCACCAAAATTGAGCAGTGAGCTTCTGTAAATCTGTGGCCACAGAGTGCCAGCAACATATTATATAGCAATAGTAGTGACACAGCATAAGTCAAGGCCAAAAGTAGCCAAGGTAGCGTTATTCCCAGAAAAAGTGCTTAAAACTTGAGTTTAACAACAGCTAAAGTTCAGCTCTTCAGGAGCTGCACAATAAATGTTTCCCACAGGTTGCTCTTCCTGTCGTGTGGAGTTTAACTAACTAGTGCACCAAGAATGGAGAACTGGCTGTTGTTAGCTTAACATCATATGAAGGATTCATGAGCTGATTGTACTCGGTGTTTGTTGAATCCGGTCCGTTTACGCCTTTAGCAGGAACAGTTTTCTTGCATTTTTGTTTTCTTTTAAGTTGCCATCCGAGGCTGACGAGCAGCTCTCGCTGCATGGGCTTGTCTTGTTATTTGTGCTAGGAAGGAAAATGCATGATGTATGACATGACATATTTGCATCACATGCTTTTTATCATGTAAAATCATAAATAATTCTCACTAAGGCTGTGCTATTTCATAACTTTGTTTAAAATCATGCACTGAAGAGGACACTGGTGTTTTCTCGGAAGCAGGGGATTGCATTGATACCCCACTGCTCCCAGTCCCACTACCTATAGTGTTTTTGCAGAAAGAGTACTGGGACCCGTTGGACACTCTAATTCCTTCTCTTGTTTGTGTTGCTAATGCTAATGCTTGAGTTTACAGTCATGATTTAAAGCATGTCCTTGCATGTGCTCTGCTGCCAGTGTTGCTTCAGGCCTGGGAGGTCGTTCAGGTTTTGCAAGTTCAAACCAACCCGTACTTTATTAACGTGCCATAGTGTCAGCACTGTCTGAGGAACATTTCCAGCCTTGAGGAAATAATGGTGACCATTAAGATGCCCCTTCCTGTGATGCTGCATGCTGACAGACTGTTTCTCTCTGTAGAGTCTGAGGTCCATCCAGGCCGCCTGCTGAACTGGTGTCAGAGGCAGACTCATGGGTACAAGGGAGTCGATGTCACCAACCTCGCCTCTTCCTGGAGGAATGGCCTGGCCCTCTGTGCTCTCATCCATCGGCAGAAGCCTGAGCTCATGTAAGGAGATCTCTAACAGGAAACACTTGCACTAATGCTCATGATAATTCAGGCGATGATTTTTGCTTCTCATACTCGTGCTCCGTCAACAGCTTCAAGAGGAAGGTTTGGTTTAGAATAGCTTAGTAATTGAGCCATATGATTGCTGAGAGATTGTGCAAATTAAAAAACAAACAAAAGAAACCTTTCAGAGCCACGTCTCTTTGGCTCTCTCCTCAGTTACAGTTTAATTGACTTTTCTTGTGCAATGCTCAATTTTTAAATTGCATGCAAAGTCACCAGCAAGAAGAACCACTGACTTTTGTTTGATTTCTTGCTCACATAACGGTCAAC